TCCGTGCGGCCGGCAGGTTAAAGCCCGCGGCTCCTCCTCCTCTGCACGCCTCCCCGAGCGGCACAGCTCTCACCTGCGCCGGGGGGGTGGGGGGGCAGAGCAGGGCACACCAAGTGCGTGCCGGGCAGGTGGTGCCACGTGGTGCAGGCGGCCGGCAGCGTGCGGTCTTCCAGGCAGCGTGGCAGCAGCAGGTCTTCCCAGGTGGTGGGGGTGAGCAGTTCCTGGGCGGTGGGGGTGAGCAGTCCGTCTCTCCGTGCGGCCGGCGGGTTAAAGCCCATGGCTCCTCCTCCTCCGCACCGCTCCCCCTGAGCGGCACAGCTCTCACCTGCAGGCGTGGTGCAGGCGGCCGGCAGCGTGCCAGCGATGGTCTTCCAGGCGGCACAGCAGCAGCAGCAGCAGTGGCAGGTCTTCCCGGGCGGTGGGGGTGAGCAGGCCGTCTCTTTGTGCTCTCTGTGCAGCCGTGGCTCCTCCTCCTCCGCATGCCTCCCCCTGAGCGGCACAGCTCTCACCTGCACCGGAGGGGGGGGCAGAGCAGGGCGCACCGAGCGCATGCTGGCCAGGTGGTGCCACGTGGTGCAGGCAGCCGGCAGCGTCCCGGGCGTCGGGCACACACACATTCGCTCTATAAGACACACAGACATTTCCCCTTACTTTTGAGGGGGGGAAAGTGCGTCTTATAGAGCGAAAAATTTATAACCTCCATTTAGGTCACAACACCTACGGTCATTTATATTCTATAATGGCTGACAATCAGAGGTATGATACAAAAGCGGGGGAAAGGAAAATGAGACCCATGCTTTCACATACTTATATAATGATATTACACAATAACCAGGAGATAATTCTGGGAAGGGGTAACCAAATGGAAATTGGTTCAAGACAAGCAAATTGAGGAGACATTGTCACATCTCTATCTGCTGTACATAAAGAGAAATTAAGCATTTATGTTGTAGAGCTGACTTAAGATTGTTGAAAGGTCTCTGAATTTGGAGTGCTAGTCTGATGATCCTTTGAAATTAGCAATCCCTGCTCAATAAAGGAAGGATTACGTTACCTAATACTTTCTCTTTGCAAGGGAATTGATCCTGTAAATCTGCCCTAGAGTTCCTGCCACTTGAAGAGGAGAGCACAAAACACTATCCTGGATTTTGACTATGTCCACATCTAAATAAATGTTCTTATCAAGCAGCTCCTTATTGCTTTGCTTGAATGTACATAACTAAAGAATTAAAAGAATGCTTGATAGTGTTCCTAACTGGCATTTATTACCCAGATAAGATTCTTCATACAGTTTACTTTATAAATGTTGGGCATGCCTACAGGGATGCTTATTTCATTGCATGTTCTCTATATTGCTGAAGAGACACCACCAAGATACTTTTACTATAAAACTGGGTGGCTATTCAGCCTCACCCCACTAGCTGGCTTTATACAAGTAGACCTTGGACATTTTAAACTTGCACTGACAAATGATCAGGCATAGCAGTGCTGTGTTCCTCCTCTTCCCCCCCTCAGTCTTCCTGCAGTAATACTGCAGGAGCACCAAGATATCCAGAGCTATGACAAGCCATTTAGCACTGGTAATGGCTTGACTCTAAAAAAGGTGCCTCCACGTTAGATGTATTTGGAAAATGAAGGCAGCCCAAGGCCATGCAAGCAAACACCCCCAAAACCCAGAGGAGACGAAAGCTAAGTGGGCTACAAAGTTGCAATCTGACTTCGGAAGGGGTGTGGCAGATGCTAGCTAGTGTACATAGTACCAATGGGTACCTCACCAACTTAAGGCAAATGCAGGGCAGGGAAGCACATTCAGCCTGGCCACCTCCCTGCCACCCTAATTCCTACTAGTGAGACCAGCTGGAAAGGGGCATGAATCTGTCAGTTGGACCCAGGCCCTCCCTCAGCAGCAGGGCATGGCAACTGAGCAGTGGGAAATGGGCACATGTGAGACACCACTGATCAACAGATCACCTTGCATTGAACTTCCAAGCCCAACCCAGGATGGCCCTTCCCTTCTTGTTCCTCACTCCAAGCTCCCCAATTCACATTCCTGCTAGTGCCAACTTTTGATTGCTTTCATCCTGCTTTCCTCAGTGTTCAGTTCTCTTGCATTGTCCCATGGAATACTACTGCAGGATGACCAGGGAGAGGAGAGGAAAGGAGGAACACAATCCCCTCCACACACGCACGCACACAGTCCATGATGGTCTGTCAAGCACAAGGAAATTTTATCTGCAGTGTGTGGGTAAAATTCTCAGGAAGGTTAACGTCATCAGGGAACTCATTCCTTTGGACTATAGTTCTCATCTCTGACCACTGGCCATGCTGCTGATGGGAGCTGGCCCACCATCTGAAGGCTCACACATTCTCTTGTGTTTATAAATTCAAGAACAGAATGTTATCAGCTTGATCAACTTGTTTTCAGAACAGTGGTAAAAGTGAGCTATTCCTAATTTGATCTCATTTGTTGAATTAATTGGAGTACCTCAAAAAAAGAGGTCATTGCTGAGATGTCATGCGGGGAAGTCTGTTTCACTAAAAGTAATTTGTTGTTTTGCATTAATAAAGATCATTAGCATGGAAGATGGGAAACTGCCTAATTTATGAACTAAAAAGACATATGGTGAGAAAGGTGAGTTTTTGATCTTAAATGAAAGATAATCTATTATGCAAGAACCCTCAAAAGGAAGCATGATTTAGTGGTCTCTCTCTCTAAACAGCACATGCTGGAGAAATAACTCAGCCATAAGACTTCAGACGAAAATGCCAGAAGTGCTTTTTCAAGGTTTTTAATGTAAAGCAAGAATTGTTATCTAAGCTGGTTGATCACCATTTCATACTCAGGTATAGCCAAGTCACAATCCTCTTCTAAACAGTTAAGATTCTTCCTTATCTCACAATTATGTTCTTGCTGGAGAAATATAGCTACATTTCCAACAGCAAGATTTACACGTATAAGCTGATGAAATGTAATTTATATCAGTGATTCATTCATTACTATTGCCTTCCAAATGTTTTATATGACGATGTGGAAGTTATACAATCATTGCTTGAAGTGTTTCTACTACAAGTCTCATGGAACAAAGTGGAATTTACTTGTTTCCAGGATGACTGCATATTTTACTCCTTAACACACAAGTGCCGTGTTAAGCCAGCTGTGTGGCTGAAGAGTGGTAAAATATTTCTCCAGCCTTTGTAATATATAATTATCTGTTATTCTAATCTGACTGGTAGCTGTGAACACACAGTTGGAGCAGTACTGATTCTGGATTAAGATAAAGGATGTGATTTTGTATGACATCACTGTAGAAATTCAGACAATTCACAAACGCAAATGATGCATCCTTGAATCTAAGGTGTAACATTCCGTAATACAGAAAGCTCAAGCAGCTTACCAAAAGAATTTTGCAACATGCTGCATTTGGAGCAGAAAACGCTACACTATCTTGCACAAAAGCCCCACCCCTTTTTATTTGGGAAGCAATTCAGCGGCAGACCTTACTTTTAGTTCATTGATACCTTTTTTAAGGCACGTATTCGCTGTGAAGCAACAATTGCAGAATGCCCGAAACATTCACGAAGAAAATGCACTAGAAATCTAACACAAGGAGGTGGGAGCAGTATTTATGGGCTATTTTGAGATGGATGCAAGCAACCCAGCCCGGAGTTCAAACGAAGGGCAAAAAATGGGCTTCTTTTTGCTATTAGCACCTTTGCTTATTTTCCGCAACCTGGCGTTCTTCCTTCACGGCACTGCCGAGAGGCGTAAGGAAAGCTGGTCTATGCCGGGGCTGGCGGCGGGGGCGGTCGGAGGACCGCGCTCCCGTGACTCCTCCTAGAGGTGGTATGTGGAGAAGGAACCCCCCCTCCGCTTCCTACCACCGGCCTCCAGAGCTGCCGCCATTGAAACCATACAATACAAGCGACGAAAGGGAAGGAGGGAGCGCGACACAGGCATTGCGGCACTGAAGCTGAGGCGGCAGCAGACGGGCAGGTGACCGGGAGCGGGAAGGCGGTTCGATTACAGCACCTCAGGCAGACAACCGGCTGGTACGCGGTGGGTGGTGCAGGAGGCCTTTCGCCGTAACCCACCCCCGCCACCCTCCGAAGCGACGGAGGCGGACCGCAGCAAAGGGGAGCGGCCCCCCGAGCCAGCTACAGCCACCGCTCCGCTCCTCCGCGCGCAACGTCCTGGGGAGAGGCGCGCTGTCCCCCGGAGGAACGGGCTCCACGGGGGTGGGGGCTGCAGTGGAGAGAAAAGGTGGCCGAGTGCGTCGTTTGAAAGGCAGGGGCCGCCGAGGTGGGAGTGGGATGCGGCGGCGCCTCCTCGGCGAGTGCGCCGGCAGTCGCCACCGCGGAGGTTAGGGCGCTGGGGGTGGGGCGGGGGAGGTCCTCCTCCATGGCACCGCAGAGGTCAAAAGATGCCGCTGAAGGGACCGCCGCTCGCCGCTTGCTTCCTTTCTCTCTCTCTCTCTGGGGGTGTGTTCCCTCCCCACCCACCGTGCACCTCTCCCAAGGGGGAGTGAGGTGAGGAGAGGTCACTTCCCCGGCTCTTCCCTTTCCGGGGCGCTCTTTCGGCTAGGACCGGTTAACGGCACTCTCCCTCAACCACTCCCCCGTCCCTCATCTAGGGCTAGAGTGAAGTGAGTGTGGGGAGAACGTGTCGCGGGAGCCAGCAGGGGGGCACTTTGCTTCCCTCGACAGAGGCCGAAAGAGAATGGGAATTGCGCGGGAAAGGAACGATGTCAACCTCCCACAATTCCCCGCGCCCGTCACTTGCTCGTGCACAAGCGTCTGCTTTCCCTCATACCTATCCAACCCCCGCCCCCCAAATGCCACCCCCCCTTTTTAAAGCTCCGGCGCGCGCTTTTCAACCGTCCGGCCTATGACCGCATAAAAAGCGGGCGAGAGTGTGTGTGTGGGGGGGGTCTTTTTTCCGTTTGGCCCCTCTCTGGTGGCTATTTTCCTTCATGACCGTGAGGCAAATAAGTTTAACGCTTTGGCGGTTTGTATTTGAAAAATGAAGAATTACTGCTTGAAGTAAAGACCAGCCCCTTTAAAGGGATAGTGGGCTGGAAATACCATTCCCTCTTTGGAGCGAGATTGTGATGGACGGTCGACGAAAGAGTCGTAAAGCTGCGCCGTCCCGCGTGCGAGATACAGCGCGCTTCATTCTTTCTCCTCAGAGTCGCCCTTCAGCTGAGTCAGCGATCAAATGCCCATGCCCCTTTTTGACACTTTACAGCGCTTTATCAGTCACCAGTTTTTCTTTCCCGTTGAGTTTACTGATTGTTCGCTTTTCACTTGCCATTAGGCACTTTGTAGGCCTGCCTCTTGTTGGACAGAAAGGCAGGATATAAAATACTTTAGATAAATAAACTATACATTACCTCTTGCTTCAAATGCCAGTGGACTCAGAGGAGTAAATAAAGTAAATGCATGATCTGTGAGCCTGACCGGGATACTTAAAACATGTTTCCAGTAAAGTGATACAGCCAGCTGCACCACTTCCAGCTGCAGGTGAGAGCTCGACAGAAGTAGCACGCTACTCCGAAATAAAACTAGGTTAGAAGGTTTTCTAGAGCATTTCTCACGTGAAAAGGGTGTTTTTCCTTGTACAAGGAAATATTCAGTCATATTAACCCCCCCCCCATCAGAAGTGGTACATCCCACCTGCTCTCAAAGCAAAAAAGACACTTGGGTGTGCAGTACCAGTGTTCCTGTTGGCCATAACTGCCGTTGCAGGGTCTGAACAAGGAGCCTACACTTGGACCGCTGTACATAAGTAGCCTCCTCTGCATGACTGGGAGACCTCAGCTCCCCATTCAGACCCTCTAAGTGCATGGTGGTCAGAGATAAAGAACTAACAAGCTCATTGGCATGGGGTGTAGGCAGTGGGTTCATGTTCCTCCTCAGATTCCCTGAACATGGAGGGTACTTTTGTATAGGCTCACCCCACCTAGACAACAATATGATACAGATCACCCAGTCTCACAATTGTAGATAGATGCACACTTTTGTCACAGGTTCAGATATACACATGCTAGCAACAACATACCCTCAGGGTTGTGATTTCTTTTCTCATCTTCTGTAAGTCCATAAATCCAAGCCTGACAAGAATAAATCCATTAGGTACAGCCAGGGGGAAGGGAGTTTCTGTCACTGCTTCCCCACTCTCAGAATGCTAAACTTGTTTGAATTTCAGTTTATCATTTGGTGTAAAAGGCAGAGCCTTTGCCATGAAAAAGTGTGACTGTCCTGTTTCCATCCATGCACACAAAAATGACACAGCAGAATAGCAACAACAAATGAGTCTTGATAACCTCTCTATTTGCCCATGCTGGCATTTCTTTCTCCTTCCTCTGTTGTCTCCTCTGTGGTGTATTTTTTAAGTCCTGTGGGGCTTTTGCCCTCTTATATTTGTAAAGTGCCTATGCACAGAGATGGTGCTATATACATAATCATATTTATAAGAGGATTCGATTACCAGTTAGCAATTTCGTCAGATGAAAGTCAGTCAGATACATTTCCATAGCCAGATCACAACTCTAAGATCCACTTAGCTCCTTCCCAGGAAAAGCTTCACCTGATGAATTCCCACAGTTAAAAGCTCAGGAGGAGGCTCAGGAAAGGAAAAAAATGTGGCAATCTTAAATACATAACCATTTCACCCCCAACAAGCAATCAGCATTCTGTGGCTACTGATTAAGTTTGGTCCTCCTTTGTTGGTTTTTGCAGACGCCCCTTATGTATTTTCCTTAAGATTTTATATATAGCGGTAGTCCCTGACTTACAGACAAGTTCTGTTCTTGAAAACATCCTTAAGTCAAATTTGTATAAGTCTGATCATATCTATAAAAAGTATATAAAACACTTAAACACTTCCATATACACTAAAACACCTTAAACACAGTGCATTATTTTACTAATGACAATGCTACAGTAATAATAAAGTAGCTGCAGCTACTAGAGAGAACCTGTATGTGTGTGTAGGTATAAAGTACAGTTCTAAACTTAAAACAGTTTAGATAGAAAAAACAGTAAAAAGATTATTAAGGGTTAACACTTCTTGAGCTAACATTAAGCCTAACATTAACTGGATTATGATGGAGATGGGACTGGTATTGGAGAGGATGGATCTGGTGCTGAGGAGTCAGGATGCTGCTGTTGGGGGGGGGCAAGGGTTACCGGACTTGCTTTCTAGTTCTGAATTTGCTGCTTGCTGGCTTTTTCCCTCCTCCTTTATCTGCCCTTCCCTCCCCTTCCCTCCCTCTCTTCCTATTCTTCCCTCCCTCCCTCTCCTTGCTGCCCAGTGCTTGCCTGGCGCCCACAGGCACCCACTTAAGGATGAGGTGGGACTTCTGGGTGTGCTTGTTCATAAGTATGAATTGTTCGTAACTCAAAAGTTCATAACTTGGGTATAAACTGTGTACACACTTTCTCTCTGTCTCTCATACAAATCTTCAAGTTTTCTGAAGCCTTCTGATAGGTCTCTTTTGTGCAAACCTCCCTATACAATATTTACGTAAGCATGCCAAACAACCAATAATTTGTTAACTATGTTTGTGAATGTACCCAAGTAAGTGCATTGATCCTTGCACACTTCCAGTTAACAACCCAGAAACAAGTCAGACAACCCAGATATATCGCATAGTTTGTTGCTTGGTTAACTCTGGGTTGTTCCGTGTTCACATACAGAATAATCCAAAAATGGCATTTTAAGGTTGTCAATGGACATGGTATTTTTAATTGTACATAATTTCTACATAATAAATATAGTAAATAATAATTTTCCTGCATGCTTCTGCAATTTCCTCAGTTAAACAATTGGCCATGATATACAAACCATGCCTTCCTCTCAGATCTATTGTTCTCAATATAGTCCAGTTGATCTGTAAGTTCTAGTGAAATCAGTTATATTTTGCACCTAATATCAATTCCTCACTTTCTGTAGGTTTTGTATAAGGGCAAGCAAACTAAGGACCAACTGTGAGAAGACTGAAAAACACAGTGTGCCAACATGTCGGCCAGAGGTGGAAAGAAAAAAATGACCAAGATGTCACGGTCCAGCAGAGCAGGTGTTATTTTTCCAGTGGGGAGAATGATGCGATACTTGAAGAAAGGAACATACAAGTTTCGGATAGGAGTGGGAGCTCCAGTCTACATGGCAGCTGTCATAGAATACCTAGCAGGTAAGAGCATGTTTTGATTGAGATGAAGTGGCAAGTACAAGAACTTGCACAGCACTTTGGAAAACTAGGCTGTACAATGGTACACTAAAATTATCTGTTGGCTATTGTAGAATTTAAGTTTTTAACGAAGTAGTGCAAACAGTGGAGATCAACTCTAATCATGGAAAGCTTTTCCTTTTGTAAGCAGTTTTATATAATCAAAAGACACAATATGAACTCTCAGGTAAATAAAGACAAAAGTGTGGGTGTATTTTAATGGTGATCATATCCATCCTTTTTACCCAGAAGAAAAGCCTAGACATTTGTAAATTGTACACATGGCAAGTCACAGAAGCAAGCATGTGTCATATAAGAACCAAGGCACAGTACATAGAAGAACTAAGAACTTAGGAAAATAGCAGTCAATTCAGCTTTTGTTCAGCACAGAAGTGGACTCCAAGCAGAGAAAGACTCTTTCCTCCATGCACCACATAGAAATGCAGCAGACTGCTGCTTAGGAGAATGATTTTTCTGTCCTTGTTCTGCCAGCCTCCAGGAGCCCAGTAAGTATGTGGGCTTATTAACAAGGCTGGTATAGTTCAGTTATTCAGATAAAGCTAAAAAATTCCATTGTGATGGTGGCGCATAAACATTTGGGCATTTATTTGTGCTCAGGGATGACATCTTAAAATTTTATGATCCCTCATGAAAAGTTGATTGTAATACATAGGAATTTGAGGAAAAGGGGTGGTTTCCAATCCTGATTTATGTTATTAATAGTGCAATCCTGTATATGTCTATTCAGAAGTAAATCTCATTGTTTCCAACAAGGCATACTCCAAGGAAGAGTGTATAAGAAAGTAGTGGTAATGAGCTATTCTGATTTTCTTTATTATGAAGTAATACTACAATTGTTTTCTTGGTTGAATATTAACCTGCCAATTTATATTCAGTTTAGAGTTGAATTTTTAGTGGCATATTAACATGAATGAGTTTGAAAATTTTAAAGTATAGCATAGTTTTAGCAGCTGGGTAGCTTTGGAATAAAACTATTAATGCAGATTTGGTATTTATTTATGGTTAGATCAATTTATTGTGCATTATCTACAAAAAAGAGAGTGTTTTCACAAAGTTGGTTAACCTAAGATATCCAAAAACATTTAATCTGAATGTTTGTATGTTTACTCAGAAGATCTTTTGATTCTAGTTGGGATTGTTCTTAAATAACTTTGCACGGAATAGCAGCCCAAGTCTCTCAGCCCCATTTCACTTAAGTGAACTGTTACAAAACAGGTTGCTTGAGGATTATACTCAAAAGACACAGTTCAAAGAATGTTGGGCATGTTCAAATTCCATTGAAATCCATTCCACTGAGTTCAACTTTCTATAGACTGCAGTCCAATGAATTAACAGGAGGCTTTATTTATTACATATTTCAATTTGAAACCTGTGGTATCTTTACCTTTTGTATACTTTGTATCAGCATAGTACAGCTGATACAGTTTTTCAGCCTTTGAAAGCAAGGCCTTTTTAGTGCTGGCCCCAGCTCTGTTATTTTAGTAAAAAGCCTTGCCAGGTCCAGTTGCTCATAGTTTTTTAAAAGCTTGCTAACATCTTTCAGATGGTGCATGCTTTTTCTGCTTGTTCGTACCTCCTCTATTTGCTACTGCTGCTGTAAAATTGTACTATTTGCTCTTTTAAGTGAGGAATTTTTAAAATGATTTTGATTGTAAGCTGCATTAAGAACCAGAAGGGTGAGATATAAATTTAAAAGACACCTATAAATAAAAAGGTAGAACCAGTTCAACAAGATCAACAAAGGGAATGTCACTATTTTCACATAGTTTCACAAACAAATAAAACTTAAACTTTCATCCAAACTATGTTACAGAAATATCTTTGCTAGTAGCCTGAATAGCCCTATGAGATTGCTGATCAAATTTAGGGATAGATTTGATCAGATTTATAACATTTCTTGTATCAAACTATATTTGTAGCAGAAATATTGGAATTAGCTGGTAATGCTGCAAGAGACAACAAAAAGGGAAGAATTGCTCCGCGCCACATCCTTCTGGCAGTTGCAAATGATGAGGAACTGAATCAGGTATGCTTTCCAGATGATTTTCGAAAGATGCATTTATTGGATTATCTGCTTCCTTCTGTGGCCCAATAGAAGATGATGCATCTAAGTTGCTCATATCCCCAGACCTCACCACCCCCAAGTCACTACCCTACCAGAAATGGTAAGCCTATTGCTTGGCATTAGTATGCACAGTGTTCCCACTAGAAAAAAAACTTAAATAGAGAGTTCTAGTTGTACTTTGCTGGCAATGTAGAAGTGGATTCAGTGCTTAACTGGAAAAATGAGGTGCAGGGGCTTTAATCAGTGAGAAAGTGGACTGCTTCTGGCTTAAGAATTCTGGCCAGAAATAGAGAGTCTGCACAGTCCTAAGGCTGCTAGACAGAGTCCCAGCTACAAAGTCAAAAAAATGCTCTAATAGGAGATATCCCTCAGATATTCCTTCCCCACCCTTTACAGTTTGTGGTAAGAACTGTAGCAGAAGCTTCTCTGAGGATACAAGATTGACCTCAGAGAAAGGCTTTTGGTGAGGCGGCTGAAATGGGAGGAGACTTGTGCTGCCAAGATATTATATGTACCGTGGCTCAGCCTGCTTCCCTCATACTTCACATTTAGATGGCCAAAATCTCATAGGCAACCTTTCCCCTCACATTTCTCCTACCCTCCACAGAATATTTATAATCCTGTAAGTTCAGAGGCTTCCCATGTCAGGGTCCATGGCCCAGAATGTTGGCGGCTGGAGACAAGACAAAAGCAACAGAGGCAACCAAAACCAGGGCAACAGAACTTCAGGCAAGACAAAGTCCAAAAGCAAGGTTTAATGCCAAGTCCAAAACATAGTCATGATACAGGCTGAGGTCAGAAACCAGAAAAATGTATAAGGGCAGAACAAGGTCAGGAACAAACCAAGGGTCTAGGACCAGGAGAACACACATAGGTACAGGTACCTCGGACAGGATAACATGGCAGGAGACATGGCATGTCAGGATATACAAGACAACAGGAACCAGATGCAGCAAGGGTCAGGCAAGATGCAGGATCTGAACCACAGTTTGTGGGAAGCCCTATATTACTGAGGCAGCATGGCAAAGCAAAATATAGGTCAGGCAAGAGGCAGGCACAACAGCAAGACAACATGGAAAGGCAGGAAACATGGCAGGAACCAGGATCAGGAACAGTCAAGCAAGTTGCAGGCACAGCAGCAAACAGGCAAACCTGTGATGCTGAGGCAATATGGCAAGGCAGGAGACACAGGAAAATACAGGAGCAGGCACCACAATAAACAGGAGAACCTGTGTTTCTGCAGCTAGTTTTGGAGGAAAGAGCTTGCTCTTCTTCCAGGACTCCCAGCTGCTCATTAGTAGACTGAAAGCTCCAGCAGGACCTAGAATTGATCCTGCAAATATGCTGGTTGATTGCTCTGGTTCTGGCCATTAGAGCAGCCCAGATCCTGGTATCACTTAACTGATTTTATGATTATTTATTTTATTTGGAATTTTTGTATGCTGTCCCATTCGCATAAGCCTCGGGACGGCTTCCAACATATAAATAAATACTCATACAAATCAATACATATAAAATCTGGATACATCCTGGTTAAATATTTTTAAAACAATAAATAGTATCAACAATTATTAAAATATTGTTTAAATAAAAAGGTCTTGGCCTGGCACCGAAAAACAAATAACGATGGTGCCTGGCGGACCTCTCTGGGGAGAGCATTCCATAAGTGGGGCGCCACCACAGAGAAAGCCCTCCTGTGCGTGCTCACCCTCCTAATGTCTTTCACGGAGGGTTCCCGGAGGAGGGCCTCTGCCACCGATCTCAAGGGGTGGGAGGGCAAATATGGAAGTAGGCGTTCCTTTAGATACCCAGGTCCCAAGCTGTTAAGGGCTTTGTAGGTGATAACCAGTACCTTGAATTGGGCCCGGACTTCAGTGGGAAGCCAGTGAAGCTGGTAGAGGACTGGGGTTACGTGAGAATTACGCCCAGTCCCCGTCAGCAACCTGGCTGCTCTATTTTGCACCATCTGAAGTATCTGGACTGTCTTCAAGGACAGCCCTACATAGAGCGCGTTACAGAAGTCCAATCAGGAAGTAACCAATGCATGTGTCACTGTCACCAAGCAATTGTTCTCCAGGTAGGGACGCAGCTGATGGATCAACCGAAGCTGAATGAAAGCACTCCTCGCCACCACAGTCACTTGAGCTTCCAAAGACAGCTCTGGGTCGAAGAGCACTCCCAAGCTGCAGACTCTATCCTTTAAAGGGAGTGAAACCCCATTCAGGACAAAGGCCAAGTCACCTACCCCGGAGCCCAAACCACCCACCAACAGGACCTCCGTCTTGTCTGGCTTGAGCTTCAGTTTATTGGCCCTCATCCAGCCCATTACCTTGGCCAGGCACCGGTTCAGTACAGCCTCTGCCTCACCTGGATTGGTTGAGAAAGAGAGGTAGACCTGGGTATCATCAGTGCACTGATGATTCCGCATTCCACACCTCCTAATGACCTCTCCCAGCGGTTTCATGTAGATGTTAAATAGCAAGGGGGACAAAATGGATCCCTGAGGAACTCCATGGCATAGCTGCCATGGCGCAGATACATAGTCCCCCAGCACCACCTTCTGGAATCAGCATTGAGATAGGAGCAGAACCACTGCAAAGCAGTGCGCCCAACTCCCAATCCTGCTAGCCTATCCAGAAGGATACCATGGTCGATGGTATCGAAAGCTGCTGAGAGGTCCAGGAGAACCAACAGGGAGGCACTTCCCCTTTCTCTCTCCATGCACAGGTCATCATGCAGGGCAACCAAGGCAGATTCAGTACCATACCCGGGTCTGAAGCTGGACTGAAATGGGTCCAGATAATCAGTCTCATCCAAGAGTGCTTGGAGTTGTCCCGCCACCACTCCCTCCAGCATCTTGCCCAAAAACGGGATGTTGGCCACCTGTCTATAATTGGTGGCCAGCTCTGGATCTAGGGATGCCTTCTTTAGGACTGGCTGGACTACTGCCTCCTTTAACGGGCTCTAGTGACTCTGTCCCTCCAGATACTAAACTATAGCTCCCATCAGCCCTAGCCAGGATAACCAGTGGTGAGGTATCATAGCAGTTTTAGGTTAAAACATTGGAAGACAGTATCTTCCCCATCCCTGCTGTAGTGTATGACTTGTACTATCTGAAGCTTTCTGCTTCCATATATTTATATTTTACACTTTCTGTTTGTTGCCTCTTTGAATCTGGATTGTGTTGGCCTTAATATTCTGAAGCAGACCCTGGTGCTGGGCTGCCAGGCTCCACATACACACAAGACCATCCCTATTAGGAAATGTTGGAGCATATGTCATAAAATGATAGTACCATGAGCAACTACTCTGGTACAAATGCATAGTGCTTCAGTATCAATAATATGACCCACAAAGTGTGGCTTTCTTTCAATATTAGATGGAGCAGATTTTACTGTGAATGTAATTCTTTGTCACGCTATGTAAGGTCTCTGAAAACACCTTATTCACAATACTTTGTTTGCTTTTTAATATTAATTTCAGATGCTTTAAAATTGTTTCCCTGAAAAAACATATTTTTATTTTACTTGTTTAATTATATTCTTAGTCCATTCTTTTTTCCAAGAAGCTTGAGGAAGGGTTCTACCCCATTTTGTACAGTGAATTGTTTGTAAAGGCAACACACACTAGACAAGCTAAGTGTCTAGATGTGCTCAAGAAAAGCTGTATTCAGATATGTTCTGTCTCTATACACTGCCTCTTTCTGCAGTTGCTAAAAGGAGTGACCATTGCAAGTGGAGGTGTTCTACCCAGAATTCACCCAGAACTTCTTGCCAAAAAACGAGGCACCAAAAGTAAATCTGATACTATCCTTTCACCTTCTCCAGAGAAGAGAGGAAGGAAATCTTTGGGGACCAAGAAAACTGGAAAGAAAGCAAAGGCTGCCAAAGCCAGGACACCCAAAAAGGTAAGCAGAACTAAGTGGCTCTACCTATAAAGGAAAATAGACTGTCCTTTTAAGTTTGGTCTCACTCCCCCCAGTTGTTTGCTTTCCTATGGTCAGGCGATTTTTGATGTTGTTAAGTATCCATTTCTTTACTGAAGCATCCTTGATAGTATTACCCATGATTAATAGCTCCAAAGGAAATGCTGCAAAAGCAAACCTGAATTCTTGCAAAAGATCTGTTCCTTTGCAAGTACATAAACAACAAGCTTTTTGAAAATTCACCTGCTAGCGCTGGAATTCATGAGGGGGAAAACCCCCTTGCTTCTAATGCAAGGGTGGGGAAACTTTCCTACTAAGGATTGTAGATCATGGCAAAAGCCAGAAACACGGCTAAAAGAGGATGGAGCCTGAGCCAGAAGTGGACAGCATCTTACTCTTCAGCTATAAAACAACAACCCACATTATTTGCAAATTAGTCTCTTTCATTCCCTGCCCAAGATTCCCTATCTCCAGAGAAACTCCTTCCATCAGAGGAAGAGAGTCTTTGAATAAAAGTCACTGACTTCAGCAGAGGTTACTTTCAAATAGTTATGCTTAGGATCACTTCCATGATGAAAATGAAGTGATCTCCTTGCATGAAAAGAGACCAATGGGTCTTGCACGGGTAGTGTCAATTCAGTTCTAATTTTCTCAGTACACCTTTAGCAAACTCACAAACAGACACTGGTAAAAGGTATTGTTGATATGTACTTTAGTATAGAGGACAGAAATGACCACATGCACTTGTATCCAAGCTGGTCAAACACTGACATGGGTTTTATGAAAATTAGAAATAAAATCAAAACATTATAGTAATAAGATAAGAGGTGTTTGTTTAATACTAGCCTTGAGAAGCCATTTGAGAGGCAAGTTGTACATTTGCTTGCAATGTAGTCCAGTCCTCACACAGTGACATCACTACCCTGTTTTTCACACAGTGAAGCATTTATGTGAAAAAAAATCCCTCATGTGGAAAGCCAAAAAGTGATCATAATAGAGAAAACACTATTTTTGAAGATGTTTTTCCCCTTTGACTTGATAATGATTCAATTTTTCACACACAGACTATTTCACACAAAATGAATTCCTAAGATGAAAATTAGGTGAAGTACACTCACTGCATGAGAAAATTCCCACCTTAAAAATAAATGTGTGAATTGTTCTTGAATGTAGTACCCTTGTGGTGTTTACAAAACACATAGAGCAAGCATGGTCGCCTGGTAAAGCACCCAGTATGGTAACGCACCATTTGTGTGCACCTTTGAATGGCCTTATAAAACATATTGGATCTTCTGAAAGACTCCTTTTACCTTTTTTCCTGAATGCTCCTATTCTTTCCCAACAGAACAAACAGAAGGAAAATGAAAAAGAAGGAGCATCAAATTCAGCATCTGATGATGGCCCTGGAGATGGATTCACCATACTGTCTTCTAAGAGCCTTGTCCCAGGGCAGAAGGTACCAAGTCAGAATAGAAGAGCATTCAAAAATTGTCCATATTATCCTGCAAAAGTCAGGATTCCATCAAGACTCAAGAAGCATTTTTATATTTATTCATTTTTTCTTATGAGAATTAATTTGATCAGCATTTGATTTGATCACTTATTTGGATCGTCACTCTAGAAACTACATGTTCATGATTCCATATTCTACCCCAAGAGTTTTGAACTTGCTTAATATGACGTGTGCTACTGATCACATTTTTACTTGAATGCTTTCCAATGTGATGCAAGAGTAACAAGGCTTATTGCGTCCTTTGTTACTCCCTCACATCCACAGCAATCCATCGTTACAGCTGTTAAAGACCCCTAACCCTTTTACCACCCCATTTAGTTACTTAGGGTTGTATCCAACAGTTGCACAAACAATGAACCAATTTCAATTTCAAGTAATGCCTCCCTCCAACTGTAATTCTGAACAACAGATCCCACTGTTCAGAAGGGTTGAAGAAGGGTTTCAGGGGATATAGGAAGCAACAGTGGATGAAGAGGAAGAGAAAGAATAGTTGCCAGATGGGTGAAGCAGGAAGGCATGCTTTGGAGGTCTCCCTCTTTTCCCTTTTGCATCCTCTCTTTCTCCATGGTAATGCTTTGGGGACCCTCCCTCGCTCTCTGATGACAATTTTCTGCAGCAATTTTTAAAAAATTAATAGTTTTTTTATAGCAGTTCATTCATAAGTATGTGTTGTCCATAACTCAGACATTCATAATTCAGGGACTGCCTGTAAATTCAGAAATCAATAGGATAGTAAATAGAAAAATCCCATAGGAAAAAGCTTCTGTGCAAGTTCCCATTGCTGAATAAGAAATTGCACATATAATTTTCTTTCCCCGGTCCAGGTGCTGGGGCTGTACAAGTATAATCATAGTCAGAAAATTGACGATAGATCAGCAAGAAGGGGTTTAAAAAACCATTTCCTCCACCTGTTACATTTTTCCTGAATGGTTGATCAGTGCTATTGCCAATGCCAAGCTATGGCAACATAGCCCCAGGCATTACTATGCAATATGTAGCTGGATTGAGACCAGAAGAGATTATTGATTATACACAAGTATTTACAAGACAGTTCATTAATAGGTGTTAGTATGTTAAAAGCAGGCACCCACACCAGAATAGGGTGACAAAGTATGGATGGATGACAGCTTCAAAAATGATATTAAAGATCATTTTCGATGTCATATAAGACCCTGCAGTGTAGATTAGGCTCCTTTTGAAGAAATTCTCCCATATTATAAATAAAAATGAAATCAACTGCTGCTAAACCATTTGTCCTGCCAGGCTACAGTTGGTTACTAAGACCAAGAGGAAGCAGCACATGCTAGTTCCTTCAGAAGTTGGAAATCGTATGTTGACCACAATGTTGCATGGGCTAATTATCAGGCAGACATCTGGCTAGAAGCAGAACAAAATCTTTGAAACATTGTTAGTCCCCCACCTATCTCAGCCTGAAAGGAGACTGGTGTTTTATCAGTGGACTGGACAGGGTTATTCCTGTGTCTACTGCCTGAACTAGTAACATGTGAATGTTACTTTCAGAGCTACTATAGTCTCCCAAAGGTAGCCTAGCCCAGGCTGTACAGTAACATACAACCTTGATCTTCAGGATCATTTTTAAGGGTGGCATGCACCCACATCTTCTTATGTACAATTGATCTGGCTTGGATCCTTTCTTTTATCATGCCAGTGCCTATAACTCTTTTTCTAAGAGCATGTTCCTATTGATTGCATCCTTGATGATCAGAAATCCCCAAGCACAGAGATTTCCTGTCATTGAAAGTAAAGTGGTGGACATTGTCTTCCCCCAGTCTGCATTTTTCACATGATAGTTTTTTTTCTGCAGTGGTGCTTTGTAGGGGGAAGGAAGAGGCTTAAGAAAGCTTGTATCCTGGCCTCTCCATTCTCTTCCTTATGGCATGAAATACTAGCCAGCTCAGGTTTTTTGCCATTCAGCTGCAATGAGGCAGGAAACCAGGGCAGGAGGGGGGGTCAGAGCTCCCAACACCCCAGTCTGAGTCTGGAGCACTGTCTCTGACTTCAGTGGGGGTGAGGAATCTAGTATCTTACGGTCTCTCAGAAAATATCTAGGGACTATAAGATTGCTCCCTAAAACACTTTCTGGATCATGGCTTGCCCACTATAAAGAGTTTATTTTGCTACTACTTTGAAGAATAAATGAGACAGGAGAAAAGAGTGCGTGAACAACATATGTGTAAAGGCTGTTTGAAAATTGAGCTCCTGCTGCTCCTAATTTCAAAGTGGTATCATAGTAATCTGATAGCAACTTTACAATTAAAGAGAGGAAGCAAAATCTCTCTAGTCATTTGGCACAAAATGATGCCACAATGTTACTGAGCAAGAAAGTGCATTGCAGCAAACATATTTAACATATTTAACTTTACTGATGGCATCAGGCCTGGCTGTGACTAAAGGGGAAAGTGATTTCGGAGTCATGATTAACAATTCACGGAACTCATCAAACATGTGTAGTAATAAAGGCAAACTCCAGGGTTAGAAAAAGGACTAAAATAAAGCTTTAGTGTTAGAGTTCCTTTATCTGTAGTACAATCTGTATATGCCTGATTGCCCCATCTCTTCCTGTGTCATGGCACTGGAAAGGCTGCACAAAAAGGAAAGATTTCCACCTAAAAGGAAAGATTAACGTGTTTGATGCTTTTTAGTTTATGGATTAGGGGATGATTACAGATCAGTATGCAGATAATTTTTATCTCTTTCCCATAACACTGTATTATATTTGAGAGACTTTTATCCTGCTGTTGTAATATCATAGATCAGCTAACAAATTTAGGACTTTTATGCATTACATAATAAAATTCAACAGGAGTTCAGAATAGAAAAAGTTATTATTCATGCGGTTAATAACTATAAGGAGTTCCCCACCAGAGCATATGATGATACAGACTAGATAGATGGCTTTAAAAAGGGTTTTAGTTTTAAAAGGGTTAGACAGGTTCATGGGATGGTTAGGTATATCAAAGATATTAGCCATGGTAGGAATCTCCATTTTCAGTGGCATTCTATCTCTGGTTATCAGTTTCTGGGAATATATAGTCAGCAAGGAATGCTGACTTCATGTCCTGATAATAGGCAGAAACATTGGTTTAAAGCAGGATTCTGGATTATGTAGTTCATTAGTCTGTTCCAGTCAGGCTCTCTTTATATTCTTACACATTTTTTTCTCCTACTACTGCACTGGAATCTTTCAGCTATCTCTGACACAGAGTGACATCAGCCATATTGGTTCTATGAAAGTAGAAGGCATTGTGCACCCAACTACTGGTGAAATAGACCTCAAGGAGGAAGTAGGTAAGTCTCAGACCCTTTTAAACAGGGGAGATAGTTGAACATCTGCATAATAACACTTTCCCAGGAGGACTGTTGAAATCTAATAAACTGAGTCTTTGATCAGAAATCAAAACTAGATTTGAATTGCTCTGGAAAGCTGTACATGTTACAGATAATGATTTTCCAATGATGGTCAACGTAGGACTTGTTTATCATGTATCCACGGTTGTGCTGATTTTGTGACTACTGTTCTCTTTTTCAGGTCAAGGCTGTAACCCTTGTACTCTTTCTAGGGAGTAAGTCTCACTGAAATCAGCTGGCTTTACTTCTGAGTAAACATGCATAAAAGCCCTTCCTTGGACAGTATTTTCCAACTTTACTATTAGCAATCATTCTCTTTTTTAACTTAGTCCCCTTCAATATTTCAAATGCACTTGTAATTTTAAGAAAACAAAACAAGTTAATTTAGAGGTACCAAACCCTTTCACTAGACTGTAATAAATAGATTGCTCTTGCATTACACTTAGGCTTGTACCAGTGTTTTAAGAAAAAATCGTATTTGTATTCATCTTTCAAATGGAAATTTGAGGCACAGGGAAATAAAATGCTGTTCTTTTGTAGTAAAGGATTCTCTGGCCACAGGACACTAAATTCAAAACTGGTTGTATTTGTATCTGTACAAACCTGTATCTGTATTTTTATAAGAAAGCTCCACACAGCATTGAAATATTTAGTAACAGAGACATTTATTACTTTTATTTCTCTTTTCCAGGAAAAGCACTGGAAAAGGCTGGAGGGAAAGAGTTCTTAGAAACAGTAAAGGAACTACGTAAATCTCAAGGACCCCTGGAAGTCACAGAAGGTAACATCTTTGTTATTTACAATATTGCTATTCACATCACATTTCCTCTTTTCAAAAATTCAGATCTTTCATCTCCCATTCTTTGTCCCTGAATTAATGCTCTGTATTAGAATTTTAAAGAATAAAACTACCTTTATTATTTCCTTTGCTATGGCTAAGGAATATCTGGCTGGTAAAGCAGGGGTTATTTTTTATTTTAAAACACTGCTACAAATCAAATCTCAATTCATCTAACAATCAGGCTCCACTCACTAAGAGTGCAATAGTACACATATCTACAAAAGTATGTGTACTCCCAATGGGAGTATGGGTTGAATTATGATTACTCTTAGATGTCCTCACAGAACTGCAGATTTTTTAAGAATCCACTTATATTTTTCCATACAAATACAAAACAATGAAATGTTTGATCTCATTTGTATGGATTGTATCTTTGTTACAAAATTAACAGTGTAATCCTATATTGCTCTACTTAGAAATAAACCTCACTGAGTTCCATGGGACTTACTCCCAGGTAAGTGTGTATAGGATTATACTCAAACTATACTATTAGTGGGAAAGACAGCTATATTGAAAGTACTCTGATGATACTGCTTTTAAAACAATTTCTTTTCAAATTTGAAAAAGTAATTCAGTAATTATATTGTATTATAAACATCCATAATTCACCTTGAGCTTCCACATGAATAAATGAGATCAAACATGTACAAGTAGAAATTTTTGGTCCTTAGTAGCTTTTGACAAACCTTTAGGATGTTTTCATTCATAAAATTATTGTCTATAGGTAAAGAACATTGTGACATTTTTATAGAATTAGAAATACTTCAGATAATCTACATAAATAAATATAACACTGTTATCTGTTCATGCAGATATAAGATGCTACAGCCGCAGTCTTACACACATTTAGCTTTTGGTTTGGAAACAAGCTTAGTCAATTCCACCTGACATGCTTATCAGAGCAAGTGCAGAGCTATCCTTTGAGAGTTGTGAAAACCAGCTTCTCACTCAAAAGCTGCAGAACGGGATGGGAATCATCTTGGCCATTGTGTGGCTGTTCCAGAGTTGGCAAAAAGGTTGGACTAAACCAGTGATGGCAAACCTTTTAGAGACCGAGTGCCCAAATTGCAACTCAGAACCCACTTATTTTTCGCAAAGTGCCAACACTGCAATAAAACCTGAATTTGCTGGCCACCAGCACAAGGGGGCAACGTTCTACTGACCACCAGCTTTTGGCCTGCCCTGAAAAAGGCATCTGAGTGTATTTCCTACCTCAATGTATTTCCTACCTTTCCTACCTTTCCTACCTAAATCCCTGGCAGCTCACTGACCAGCCATGGGAAAACTCAGCAAGTCAGGTAGTTGAGTAATCATTGCCTGGCACCCTTAATCTTTCTGAATATGCGCATGGCTGCTGGGGTGATTGCGTGTAGACAGAGAGGGCTCCCTGTGTCCCTTCAGGCACAAGTGCCATAGGTTCGCCATCACTGCACTAAACCATTATAGGAAAGATCAGTGCTTATTGGGAAGTTTGCTTGAGCACCACTGTTTTTAAAAGCCCCCTGAGTGTCTGTAAGCAGGGACATCAAAGCCAGTTAACTGCTGCACTAGTCTTTTCTTAGGGAAAGTTCAGTGCAGGATTGCTGGTGAGAGTAGGCAGTGGTGGCAGGTGACACTTCTTTCTAAGCCAGCAAAACATAGTAGGCTGTACCTAAAGCAGAGTCTAACTTTTTGCTTCTTTCTTCATTGCTTCAGCTGCTCTCAGCCAGTCCACTGGCCTAGCAGCAAAATTTGTCATTCACTGTCACATCCCTCAGTGGGGTTCAGACAAGTGTGAAGAACAATTGGAAGAGACTATAAAGAACTGTTTAACTGCTGCAGAAGACAAGAAGCTGAAGTCTGTGGCTTTCCCACCTTTCCCCAGTGGCAGGTATGTGTGTTTTCAGGTAACTCCTGCAATTTAAGTCATTCATGAAAAGTTTATACAAGATAGGAGGTAAATTTGTTTGAGGACCCACTTAAGAGTCATTTGTAGGGTTGCTGACGCATTCTTTTTCTGGAAGGGCTCCTTTATCTAACAGGTGCATGTTACGAAGCAATTCAGCACGTGACATTTTCCCAGTGGCATCACCTGCTGAATTTCCTTGGCTGTATTCCAATTTAGGTGCTTCCAGTTGGGCTGGCAGGAACAGAATTCGCCTTCACACAGCAGCCCCTTGAGCCCCCTGAAAATGCTACACAGAGGACCAAGGAACACTGCTATGTGGTGGGCTGTGCTACAAGGGCTGGGGCTGGGGCTGGGGCTGGGGCAGAGGCATTGCTAGAGCTAACTTTATATTCTGATGGCTATGAAGCTTTCAGTCAGGGTGAAACATTAAGATACTTTGCTTTTGGACCCAATAGCAATTTGGCACTTATGTTGCCTGAACTGAACCTCTTCTTGAACCTTCTTACTTTGATTGTCACTGCATTTCCAAAGCAATACCAGCCAGCCATGCTACCTTGGTCTTTGAACCATCCATTTATTTCCATGCTTCTTAGTCTAATCAGATTTCAGTGTCTCACAACTCTCATGTCTAACCTCTGATTCACCCACACCTCATACTGGTTTGATCCACTGAGTTATTTTCCTCCTTCCTTTCCTTATGACCCTTTCTCTCTTACCAGTCATTCCTCGCAACCCAGACAAAGTAGGTTCTCCTTCCTTCAGGTGCTGCTATTCCTGGACAGAAGCACTTGTTCTAAATTCACTTCATGAAGGGGAGAATCCCTTTTATCTGTGGTGCAACAAAACCACTGGGATCAGTTAATTCTTGTCACTGCTGTAGCAAAGCATAGTGACAATTCAGTTACAGAATAGATGGCTTAAGCATAATCAGATACAACATTAGTTCAGAACCTGTCAAGCTAGCATTGTGCTTTCAAGCTTTAACCTTGATCTCTTCCCCCCACCCCATCTAGAAATTGCTTTCCAAAACAGACTGCAGCCCAGGTGACTCTCAAAGCCATTTCTTCCCATTTTGATGACTCCAGCCCTTCTTCCTTGAAGAACATTTACTTCCTGCTTTTTGACAGCGAGAGCATTGGCATCTACGTGCAAGAGATGGCAAAGCTAGATGCAAAGTAGCAACAGAAGCCAAATGAAATTTTATTTTTCAACATGAATATGAGTAGGAACGAGAATTAGAAGTGGGTTTTATTTTTAAAATATTGTGAGGACGGAGTATGTGAGTAGCTTTGAAGTTTTGTGATGGGTGGAGGGCTTTTGTTATGGAAAACAGGGGAAAGTGTTTGGGAGAGTTTGATTTGCAATTATATCATGCTTTAGACACCCTCTACCATTTTGTATCATCCCCAAGAAATTACGTTGTCAACTCTTTCTACATTTTAATATGTCTCAAGTTATTTTAGTTTAGATTTCTTTAATCTCATTTTAGAGTAGCAAACAATTCAACACACAAAATGAATGGGGAAATGTGAATTGTTTGCTGCCCTTTCTTTTCCCACTGGTAGTTAGAAAACTTTATGTTGTGTCTACATTCCATGTTGAAGAAAGTAATTTCAAAGAAAACTCACTTGGTGCTTTACTGTTTTACCCCCGAAAGATCTGTAATTGCTGAGAATATTTCATCTTATTTGTTTTTATAAAAAAAATGGCATCATGCTTTTTTAAAACTTTAAACTTGATATTTTCAATTATTCTTAAAAAAGGGGGAAATGACTTCAAAAATATATTTTAGAGGGGGGAAAGTCTCATGTCTTTCATGAAAGATCAACAGGATGGTTCTCTCTTAGGTGTGTTAAATTCAGTGCTGATATTGGCATTTGCCAAAGGGGGAGATTTAAATTAACAAAACTGATTGTATTGACATTGCAGGTCATAGACACCAGATAATTTGGTCTTTAATAACAAATTACAAGAGAGAAAATATGGATACACCAAAAAAAACTGTTATTCAAAGTGATAGTTACAATTCTTTTTGCTAACAGTCGTTATCTAGGCCCCTTAATTTCAACTCAAGGGGTTTAAGAGAGTATTTAACTGTGTAGTGTTTAGAATGTTTAGTAGTCTACTTTGAAGTAAATGTAAGTTCCTTTTCTTCTTCATCAGATATAGACAACTTTAGGTCTGCAACTCCCTCTGTAGGGCACCAAGTTGCCTACCTCTGTTCTGTGTGAATATTTTCATTCAGCTTATTTCGACCACCCCAAGCAAGTGTGTGTAGCAAATTGTTGGAGCAGGAGTGGGGTGACTTTAGCCTTCCATGAACCACTTTAATTTTTTTAACAAACATTAATGTATTTGGTATCTCTTCACATTTGTGTTAAGTGATCATAAGTTTCTACTCTTACTGAATTGGACACAAGGTCCATCTAACCCAATATTATTTGCAGGAATTCTGGCAACCAAAAGCACTAGTTGGCCTGCTGATACATCATAGGCTACCCCTGGTCTAAAGCATAGACTAAAGGTGGCTTTCACAGTGTAGGCCTCCTTTCATACCTGAAAAGGGAAGTCATATGATTATATGCCAAAAGGGCATTTTTTCAATTTCTATTTAAGATGAGCTGCTGTATGATGGCTCAGGGTGACCAATACTTGAGTAGGAGCCACTGATTTTTACACAACCTTCAAAAATGCTATTTGGACAACTATCATTAGTTTATACAAGAAAGTTATGTCCCATTGTTGACCTATGTGCAAGTTAAGATGAAATGGAGGCACAAGTTTAGCTTAAGTTCATCAAAGTAAACTTACTTGAATACTTTGCTTCCTATTTTCTTAAAGAAAAAAAGGAATCTTTAGCTTCCAAATTTAAGAGTGTTCCAGGGAAAACCAAAACAAACATTCAAACCTCCATGAAAATGTTAAATGGTTGCCAGTGAGTGTTTACAGGCTTTAGGCCACAGGACCTACAAATTCATTTATTACAGTCTTTGTGTACCACATATAAGGAATTCTCTGCCTGTGCAAAGCCTTATTTAGCATGTTCTAGAATTGAGAAATGTTGACAGAAACCTGCCTGCATATTCAAGGAGAGCAATTCCCACTTAGCTCTTTTTCAACTGCTGCACATATTTTGCCAAGAAATTAAGCTGAGTTTTTCTTCATTTCCATTGATGCTTCTTTTCCTCCTCTTTATAGAAATTAGTATAGTTTTGGGAGCTGCAGTGACCCAGGACCAATTGCCCTAAACGCTTGAGATTGGACCAGCTAGACATCAATATAAATGTATTTTAAGGTAAGGGTGGACAACCTGTAGGCCAAAACATGTAGAGCGCCAGTACTCTCCTCACCATTGGCTATGCTGACTAAGGCCAACAGGAATTACATTCAACAACATCGGGAGAGCCACAGGTTGCTGACCCTCCAGGGCAACCATCTGAAGAGGTAGATTCAGACCAACATAGAACAACAACAAAAATAGACAACAATGCTATATGGTGACTTCCTTGCTAAATAAGTATTGTTTCCATAGATCATATTTAATCCAACATCTTTTGATCCAGTTTTACAAAATTCATGTTAGCTCATGAACTAGATAATGAAAACAATACCCAACACCCGATGTGAAATACAAAGTTCTAATGAACATACAATTTAAGATTATTTTAGATAATTAGTGGCCATCTTTAACTCCCTCAATGTACTATTAATTCAAAGATATAATCTGCCTGGCACTGGTGCTGACACACTTCTGTCTTGCAAATTCCCCTCCTTTCCGGTTAGCAAGGCATACACTGATGCATCTTCCTCCAGCTTTTGGAGACAAAAAGGTCCTTGCTTTTGACAAGGGTCACTAAGAGATGTCCCACATAGTATCCACTGATCTGACCCACACCATCATTTCTTCCCATTGAAAGCAAGAAGGTAAGTGATCCTGAAAAGGAGACAAAAATTATTTACAAAAGCACCTGAAACCATTATTTGACAGGTAAACACTTTACCTCTCTCCTAACTATCAGGAGAAACACAATTTATGTTAAGGGTGCTTCAGGACAGACAGCTCTAAGCACTAGTCATCGAAAGACATTGTGCTTCTATTAGGCTTTCCCTCTTTCATGGATTTTCTATAGTAACTACAAAGGAATAATTAGTACTGGGAAAATACTGGTCTTTGGCAAATGAAAGACAATGTTGTCTGGACCTTCTAAACTCTGAATGTGGCAGAACATATTGCTCAATATAAGTCCCTTCTGTCAGAACCATCACATGAGCACCCTAAGGCTTGTTTACAAATTTAAGTCTTGATTATTCTTTCTCCAGGTGAACAATCCCAAAATGGAACTGTTAAGTCCATATGCACCAGCAATACTAATGGGTAATCAATGATTGTAGGCAACCTCCTGCAATAACAGTTCCAAAACAGTGATGTAGTAATGGAAGTTGCTGTGAAACATACCCCTGTAATGCTCACTCATACAGTACATTCGTTTACAAATGCACATTTATGAATGATCAAATAAATAACCATACCTGGCCTGTAAATTTTCAGAGGCTTGTTTGTCAGGCTGTTGACTATGTTGGTTGCTGCAACATCTGCATGAAGCCCAGCATGGTAAGCCATCTTTGGCTCCTTCACATCAGCACAGTCACCAATGGCATAGATGTTATCATATCCTTCGATCTGAAGGTGCTCATTCACTTTCAAAGCACCATTACTTGCCAGCTTGTCACCTAAGAGGGGCCAGAGAAAGGAAAGAAGTTACTATGCAGTCTGATAAACTAACTTTCAGTGAATAATAAATGCAAGAAAAACAGTTCAAGAAAAAAGTATCGATGTTCTATTTTTCATTGCCCATTTCATTTGTAGTAAAGGGGACTGTTCTTATTACTATGTCCAACAAAGGCCAAATGATAGTGTAAGAGAGGCACATAAAATAGTTACCTGAACATGAGCTTCAGATATAGAACGCTTAGTCAAATACACAGTATTTAGAGAAACAGTTTAAAGTAGAGGTGCATCCTATAGGTAATGTGCCCCCCACCCCATGATAGTCACAGGCTACATTACCATTTTGCTACTATTCCTGCCAAGGACTATAGGAACCAGTACTCAAGAGGGCCAGCGTGCCAGGGACACCAGGAATCAGCATTCAGGGAGCCCACTTTGAAGAAGACGCACAGAAACTAGCACTCATGAGGGCCTGCTTATCAGTTTTGAAGGAAAGTGTGTCTGAGCACTAATGTTTTAAGTCTGCATTTCTATGCATACACTTGATTAAATTCAAGTCTCTTTCTTCAAGTAAAAGGCCAGAGTAAGTAAAATAAGACAGAAAATAACTTACTGAAAGCACTGCTATATGCTGATGAATTGACATTTATTCCAGTACAGAGAATCACCATGTCAGTAACAATCTCTGTGCCTTTATCTGTCTCCACGGTCATGTTTGCCTTGAACTGATGTAAAGTCAATGAATGCAGGTTGGCAACTTTTTGACCTGTTGACAGTAGTGGAAAAAAGCAAAAACACCACAACTCATTAAACCTCTTGAGAAAATATATTCCTACCCTATTGTGCTTCAAGGGACAACACAAAGGATGTCAATTGAGTTTAATTTTTTAGAGGTACTAAGACTGACTCTTAGTTCTGAATTTCCAATTTCCAATTCTGTTTTGTTAAAAGAAGAGGTGCAATTACTATTCCACCGGGTTGCAGGAAACAGCTTTGGAATTCTACTAAGCTTCTGGCTCAAACCAAAGAAACTACACTGCAGTCTGCTTTCTGTGAGGAAGAGGAAGTTTTTATGCCCTGCACAGATCTTCAGAAAACTTTCAGTCAAAACAACTTGCAACCTTGAACTCTTACAGGTAGGGTAATCCTACAGGGGCAGAAGAGGGAGAATGCAAAGCAGAGGAGCCATCAAATCCTGGCAGGTTCATGCCAGCCAGGCAAGAGGGGGGTATGCAGCTGGAAAGAAAGGCATCCCTTGTGAGAAGTGCATCAGGAGGGTTTGTCCTGTTAATGCTGTTACCAGTGGCAGAGCACTGAAGTCAGCCGAGTCTTCTATGCCATGGGTCCTCAAACTATGGCCCACAGGCCAGGTTTGGCCCACCATGCCCATTTATCCAGCCCACCTCACAGGTTTTGGACTCACTGCACCTGCCACTGCCCGCCTCGCCGCGCACGTGTGGTGAGGTGGCAGCTTGCTCGCACGGATATGGTTTTGGACTGGCTCGGAGAAAATGATCTCTGAGCAAGCAAGCCGCTGCCTCGCCGCAAGCGCCTGCCTCGGCTCGCACCCACCACCAGCACCTTTCAACTGGCCCCCTGTTGGAAAAGTTTGAGGACCCCTGTTCTATGTCTTCAGTGGAAGGTTTTGCTGAGAAACATGAAGGCCTAGAAAATATACCAGAAAAATGGGGGTGGGGAAGTAAGAGAGAAATCTAAAACTCTATGCAGGAGGGGAGATGTTTTTCCTCAGGGATCTCTGAGAGGTGTGGAGAGGGCAGGACACACAGTTATTTTCCTGAATCTTTTCTGGGGATCTTCCAGAAGCCTTCACATGCAAGACCTCATTTTCCACTTGTGTACCTCCCTTCCCATAGAGTGAGCAAGAAATCTCTGTCCTGTGGCCCCTGGGAAGCCCTCCAAAGGGACCACAGGATTGCAACTTTGGCAACCTGAAATAAAGATAAGATGACTAAATGAAGTTATGCAACTTCTATTCCTAGAACACATTTTAAATATATAATCAAGTAGGATCTTCATATATGGAAGGCACTTTTTAAACTATTTGTCCCAGTAAAAAATACAAGAACAAGGACCTGTTCTTTTGTCAACTGCTGCTCAAAGTCTGTTTTTTTTAAAGCCAAGCAACTAAAGAAACTGCCTGCACAATTCATTTGAGATACATATTACTTTGCACTTGGTGATCATACCTAAGTGCAAAAAGTCTCACCTGAAGCAGACTGCTTTAGGCCTCTCTAATTAGAGAAGATCTAATTCCTGGGGAAACATCATACACAATCAAAAAATCAACTGTGTACCCACCCAACACAAGATGTACCCCTTCTTGTAGCAATGTCTCCTTCACCTCCTGTCGAACCCTGGGAAGGATTTCTGCATCTGCCAATGCAATTCTGGAGTGAATCAGAGTGACCTGGAGATCACAAACACTGATGTTAGCCGGAAGTTATCGGAAAGGACCTGTTCGTTACTATAGTGCAATAACAATTTAACCACCTGTATAACAACTCCCAACAGCCTATAAATCATTTAACTTCCCAGATTACATGTTTGTTGCACTAGCTTCAAATGCAAGCACTCAGACAACAGTGATGAGAATCTGACTGAACTTGCACAGGATTCTAAACTTAATATTGCAGACTGTAATTGCCTATATGCACTGACAGAATGACATTCCTAGGTTATCATTTGCTGCATGAGACAAGTTATGATACAAACTGCACTCCTGTGCACTCTTGCCTGTTTAGAAAGTGCCACTGAACCCAGTGTAACTTACTTCCAAGCAAGTTTGCAAAGGACTGCAATTACCAATTAAATAATGCATATCTAGATGTGGGAAAGAGGAGGATATAGGAATGTACAGGTATACTACACAAAGGTAGTTTAATGGTCACTCTAGTGTAGTTCTGTTAGGGGGTCTAAGTATCTCTTAATAAAATTCCATCATCAAATTACCATTCCCAGAACTAGCTTGGGGAAGCCACAATGACTAACCAGTACAACACATCCTTTGTGGCCCTGTAATGCTTTGGTGTTCTCGCTCCTTGTAATCCTTGCCTGTTCTGGCCCTGCAGAACCAGCAGGAAATGGAACAGTAAAGTGGTAGGCAGCTGGACTGATCACGGTGTCACTGGTGCTTCATACCTCTTTGTCAGGATACTTGGTCTTTACCTCTGCAGCCATTTCAACGCCAGCAGAACCACCACCCACAATTACTATGCGAGGAGCTTTTTCAACCTTTCACAACCAAAAGGAGAAACAAGATGTGAGTCGTTATGTCATCTCCGCTATATCACTTTCTTAAACTACAGTAGTTTCAAGAGGGTCCATCCTATCAAATCTAACATTCATCAGCCTAGCATTTACATGACTCTTCACAATCTCTCCCCTATATTAGAAGTGCTGGCAATGCTGGACTCCTTTTAAGAGAGGATTTATATCTAGACAGAAAAAATCTTAGGCAGTTTGGGAAATCCTGTAACTTCTGTGCTTCATTTAGGATACATGGGCTACATGATGTCCCACTGTGGGCAAATAATTATCCATTTAAAACCACTACCATTTAAAACCTGTGTGGTAGGTTAGGCTGCAAAAGAACAACTAGCTCAAACTCAGAGCACAGTTTTATGCATATTTACTCAGAAGTATGTTCAGTGGGGTCTACTTGGAGTCCTTGAGTACAGAACTGCAGCATGAGTAGGAATCTGAACTTTGGTATCCCCGGTTTAAGCCCACACTCCAGGGGCCACATTGCACTTAAATTATTTGGTAATTAACCACAAACAATTTTCTGCTGCAATTCTGAAGGTGCTTACTACAGAATAAGCCAAAAATTGTGCTCAGTAAGCATACACAGGATTATGCTATTAATATTTCTCGTCTTTGTTATCAGAGGTCAAGCAAGATTAAAACACTTATTACTTTCTTTCCTGGGTTGGTTCTGGTTAGGTTTTGTTGCCTTCATTTCAAATCAGCTATGCTACAAATCCAAATATAAACATATTTATAGCTGCCAAAGAAAGGCTATTTTTGCAGGATGTACAAGGGGACTCAAGAAAGGCCATTACCAGTATTGTGTAAACTCAAAGTAAATCCCAGAGTGTCATGGGGTAGCGATAAAGTAGTTCCTTTAATTAATAATGAGAGTGCCACTGTGGTGCAGTGGTCAAGAGTGCAGGACTAAGGAGATCGAGAGTATTCCCTGCTTGGCCAGGGAGCCAACTGAATGACTTTGGGCCAGTCACAGACTCTCAGCCAAACCTACCTCACAGGGTGGTTGTTGTGGGGATGAGGAGGATGAAAATGAGGTAAACCTTGTTACATTCAGATAGGATATAAATCTAATTATATAATGGCAATACTTTATTAGCTGTTACAACACGCTGTAAGAGAGTCAGTGTGATGCAGTGATTAGTGGTGCAGTGAAACTGGCGAGATCAACTTAGCCATGAAGCTCACTGGATAATTTTGGGCCAGTCACAGACTCTAGCCTAACCTACCTCACAAGATTGTTGTGAGGATAAAATGGAAAGGAGGCTCTTTCAAGCTGCCTTGATATCCATGGAGGAAAAGGCAGCATATAAATGTAGCAAAAAAGTAAGAAGAAATAAAAGCTCCAAATTATTTTCTGGGATAGTGGGTAGACTATGCCTGAGAGAAGCACTTCCTTATAGCCACCCAGTAAAACTTATTTTTACCAGACTTCCCACTTCCACAACATGCACACCACATCAGAACAAAAACTTGGAATCATCCAACCACCATCTTGCCACAACCAAACTTAGGTTGCTCCATTGGGTCACATGAGCCAAAGAACACCCTTTCCCACAAAAAGGAATTTATGCTCACCTCTTTAACCATGTCCTCATACGTCTGGATAGCAGACTGCATATCAATGATTTCATTAAATTTCCCAGGAAAAGGCCCATCACTTCCTGTGGCAAGGATCAAGTGAGAAAAGAAGAGCTCCTAAGAAGAAATAGAAAAGGAATGGGTCAGATGCTTTCCTGACACCAGCACCTGGAAACCATTTTAAAGAGGATGTTCTCACTTCATTATCATTTAACAGGATGCATTGCTTCTTCAAGTCAATTCCAACCACTTTGCCCTGCCGGAAACTGTCTTTAAAGGTCACTGCAAAGGAGATGAAGGTTTTCTTGGCAAAGCCTAAAAGTTAGAGACAAAATATTAAGCAATGAATGGTGTTTAGAAGAGCAGGAGTTCAGGGAAGTGCCAGTAAAGATTTTAATAAACCTGGTCTACCAGTGCAGCAGAACAAGGAGGTAGAAATCTGAGGTAGCACAGCACTTAGTACTGTTTCAAGGTGTATGGGTTCAGGTCATCATTGGAGTGCTCTCCTATGACAGCTAAACCCAGTAGTAAGCAGAAATGTTCTGGTTTAACCCACTCTGTAGACAATGGGCAAGTGTCTACTGGTCTTCTGCACAGGGAAGCATTAAAAAGGATTTCCCCTCTCTTTGGATCTGAGTGCAAAATGTTATATGAATAGTTTGAAGGGATGGGGAAATGTAGTCCACACCTACAATTTGAAGTGGTACAGTCCCTTTTAACACTACAGGGCTGAATCATGTCATTCTAGTGTGAACATAGACCAGGCCTCAGTCAGAGTTTCATCCCACCAAGCAAACATAACAGTTCACAAAATTTAAAACCACATATGCATTTGTGAATATCCTGGTCCTACCAGAACTACCCAAAGCAGTGTACAACATCATAACATAAGCGATATAAAGTATAAAAAGCAAAGAACCAACCCCTTTAAAAAGCAAAGAACATAATACAACCAGTACTTTAAACAGTGAAACAAAAGTGGGGCAGAAGAGAAGCGAGGGATGGTACAGTTTACATGTCCCTCTAGCCTTCTCAGATGGTTAAAGGTTGTGACAATCTAGCAAGTATTAACCAAGTTAAGTTTGGGCCATAATGCTATACATAAGAGTTGCAGGACTTTTTCTGTCCAAACACATAAAGGTCTGTACTTAGTTTTTTATAAAGCTCTGAAGACATTGTACATACCATCACAACAGATGTCCTATGATCCACTAAACCAATATATCCCACTAGAGGCTCAATAAACCTCCCAAGTTTAGCTGCCTAACAGACTGCAAGAAGGGATAGAAAAGAATTTGGCATAGGGGTTGCAGCAAAGTGTCCAACTTCACAGGTGACAATCCTCTATTTGAAAATATCCTTTATTTGGAGGCTTATCCAAATCCAGTTTTAAAAGGATTTTGTGAAGAACAAAAAGCAGCCAGGACCTTGAAGTTCGCCATCAAAGTTAGCACCTGGGCCTGCAGATGGAGCAGGCCCAAACATCACCTGCTCACAGCCTTCATCGCTAGCAAAAGATGCATTTCTATTTAAATTGGATACAGTTTTCTATACCTATATATTAACATATATACATTTCTGAATGTTATTCTCTACCTACACATTAGAATGTGCATATTTTTTCGCATTTTGTATCCTCTTTTTATTTTTTTGCAGTGGGTAAGCGCACACTTACCCTGGCCAACAGAAAGAGAATCAAACCAGAACCTTACCTAGAAGGAAAAATGATGAAGCTGAGGCTGTCAGACTTTGGCACATTGTGAGAAATCAAAACTTTTTGGAGAAGATAATCATGCCATGGCAAGTCAAGCACAGAATAAGAAAAGGAAGACTAAATATGAGATGGATTGACTCCATAAAGGAAGCCACAGTCTTGACTTTACAAGACCTGAGCAGGGCTATCATGGATAGGTCATTTTGGAGGGCTTTTATTCATAGAGTCACCATTGTGCAGAGGGGCACAAAATGCACCCTTAATTTTGGGATGCAGACGTCACTGAGCCTGGCTGTTCATACAGAAGGGGGTGGTTTGTCACACATTTAGCTAAACCACCAAGACAGTACAACAATTCCTCAGGACAGGGCCCTGCAGGGGAGAGATGGGCATGTAAAGAATTGAGGATACAATTGCTACACCCTCAGTATTTAATGTTTAAGATCAAGGCAAGGGTTCAATCATTATGGAATCTAATCACACTCTCTTCATATCAGTGCAACTAATAAAAGGAAATGTGCGAAGAACAGGTTAGCCAGCACACCCATAACCCCCTCATCATGGCATTTCTTCTGTTCCAAAAATTCTAATTGATATAAGAATGCATATTTTATTTATTCCCTTCAATTTATAACAAATCATAGAAGCACAGAAAGTTGTCTCAGACTGAGTCAGACCACTGTATTGTTGAGTGGCAGCAGCTCTCCAGGCTTTCAAGAACAAATCTTTCCAGCCCTACCTTATGGAAGCAAGGCACCCTGCACTGTGGGAGCTGAGCAGTGGAACCTGGAAACTTCTGTCTTTCAGAATGGAGAGGAAAATGCACAAAAGCCAGGAAGCCACCAGAGAGTTGGTGGCTGAGGGAAAGGGGGGGCATGGAAGGTCTGTATTTTTGCATTGGCCAACCCTGTTCAAGACCTCAGCTTTTATTTTGCCCTTGTCTAAGAAACAGTAAGTCTTTCTTATTACACATGACAGCACAGACCAAAAGCCCCTCTGAAAAGGTGGAACAGGATCTTCATTTAATAGAAGATGCCTAGCCCAGCTATGCCTATGCAAGAGAGAAGCAGTGTTTTCAAAAGACCCCCCCCCCCCACCACCACAAACTGAACATTTCCCAATTCCATTCAGTCCACATCTATATTTGTTGCCAAGATTCAGTGCTAGGGCAAATACAGTTTCACAACCTTGGTGCACAAATCAATAGGTAGAACTTTCATTAGTTAAATCATGCAGTCACTGACACATACCCAGGCCTGAGAAAAACCCTTTTTTTCTGGAATCTGCATGTGTACATCCTTGAAATGTAGCTGTCACTGACCAAGCAGCAGTCCAGAGAAAATGAGCTGGTATTTGACAGATAACAGCACAAATAAAGGGCAATTCACACCAGCCCACTCTATCCTCACCCTCTTCTATGTAATAGTACCCTGTCCCCCCCCCCCCCCGCTTTCAAAGCATCTTCTTTTTAATTTTTTACTTCTATGCCTTGTTTTACTTCTATAACCTATTGGAAAGTGTTGACTGCATTACGTGTAACCCTCTAACGGTCAATATATAAAAGGGCCAACTGAGGACTGCTCAGGTGCACCTGTCTGGAACGATATGCTGGTGGCCGGTTATTCTCGAGAATAAATCCTTTAAAAGAAAACCTTCCCCTGTTGTATATTTTGGGCATGTGCACACTAGGACACGAACATTTTGGTCAACAACCTGGAACAAATCCAGGCTATAGGATGGCATTAACTGGCTGCCCACCCAAATGAGTTTACATGAAAACTCCCCCCACCGGCCCCTTAAGCAGTTCTGCACTGTTAAGAAAAATTTTCTTTAAAGCAATAAAAGTGAGCAAACCCGTAAACATTTACGAACGGAGGAAGAGCCAAGGTTGCTGCCTGAGCCACCATTTAATTCACTGGACTACGCGTCCGTTGCTTCAGCCGCAAAGCCGGGCCTGCGCAGCAGGAGAATTTCAACTTTCCCTCTTTGGCAGAGCTGGGGTGCTCTGCGAATCTCCGTGCGAATCTCCGAGCTTAACAGGCAGACACAGGGAACAAACAGCTGGGCCGAGTCTAAAGCAGCCTTCCCTAGCCAGACGCCCTCCAACCGCGTTGGCACTACAGATCCCATCATCCTCGGCCAGCAAAGAAATGAAGCAAAGTCCCAAAGGGGAAGATACCGCTCTGTACGGAGGCGCGCAGGGCAGCCACGTTGTGGTGGAAAGCATCTCTCATGTCCACGAGTACAAAAGGGATCCCACAACGCTGGAGCTGGAGGGCAGCTTCAATCCCTCCGAAGCCTCCTCCGACGATTACCACACGCACCGAGTCATCCACAGAGACGTTGGAGCCCATCGCGAGTGGCAGACAAGCCTAAGGAGAAAAGCAGGCGGAGGGAGGGGTCGGAGTGTCAATAAGGTGATGGTCTAAGGTCTAAACTTTACACCCTGCATTGCACATTACAGAGGGCGTCTTGTTCCGAGCAGGTGTTCCTGGGCACAATCCGAGCATGTCCTATTTGCTAACTTTCTCTAGATTCCGCCTCCCCCCCACGCGCTATAAAGCACCCTGGAGGGTTTGGTTAAGGGCGACAATACAGAAATATTTAAGAAAACGCCATTTTTAAAAAAAGATGCTGCTAGAAATTCTGTAAACACAGTCTGAAGCTAACCGCGAAGCTTTGCTGCGGAAGCGTAAATATCTGGACAGAGCGCTCTTTCACTTCTTCAAAAAGAAACCGCTGAAATTCTCTCCTTTCCCTTCCTTTCCCCCACTGCTTTTTAAAGGATACACACAAGCACACGCCGTACTTAACATACCTGCTACAGACTCGGCGCTAACGACTACTCAGCGATCGCACAGCGACGAAAATGCAGGAAATCCTTATTTATTTCCATGGGGATGAATCATCACCAACCCACACTGGTGTTGGAAGCAACTGCAGGAATGACTCAGCAAGCCTGTCCCTCGGGCATTACTTCCCGGAAGATGCTAAATCAAGATTAGTTGAGTCCGAGGAATTTCTCTGCCCGGCCGCTCCTCCGCCACTTAGCAGGGAGGGCGATTGCAGAAAGTTTGCGTGGCGGCAGGCCGAGAAATGCAACTGATCTGTTTGGAACTGAGCGCGCCTGCTTTCTTTGCATCTCTGCTCAGAAATAAGTCCCGTGAAGTCCAATGAAGGTTACTTCCAAGTAAGCGTACCCAAGCTCGTGCTAGAAGGTCTTGCTCACAGTCGGAGCTCATGCATATTTATTCGGACGTAGGTTCCTCTTATTTATTTGACGTATTTTTATCCCGCTCTTCACCCAAAAAGGGTCTCGAAAAGGCTTGCAAACACGCGGATAAATAAGACAGCCTCTGACCGTAGGTTTACATTCTGAATAGGCACCACACACAAGGAAAAAGGGTATGGAAGAGGGAAAAACGAAGTACAGTACTTCCTGCAGAATTGCTAGATCAGCCCTGCTTCCCCTCTTATTTGCCTATGGGAGGGGCTGCGGGAATAGCCACTTTCCCGTGCATGCGCGGAGAGCTGGTGGCTGGCGAGTGACTCCGTAGGGCTGGACCCCGAATTTCTGCGAGGCCCTCTGCCCCACCACCCTGCTGTCCAAGGGCAATTGCGGAAAAGAGGTATGGGGGTCCCCCTATCTGATGCCCCTATGCTGACAGGCGTTTTGTCCGCAGGTGTTTCACCTCTTGCTGATCCCCCTTGAGTTTTTCTGCTCGAGGTTTTTGTTCTGAAATCAAATGCCCTCTTCTCCTCTTTTTTGTTAGAAGTGTGCTTAGGAATTAGGGTCTTTTAAAAAGCACACGCAGAGACTTCAAAGCATATGCAAATTAGCATATGAATATCTATTCCCCACTCATCTTTTTATATGAGTGGGGAATAGATCCCCCCCCAACACACAGTTCCCAACCTTACAGGCTAGAGTACACTTTTCGTGGATCAAGCTATTCTGGAAAAGCTTATAGCCATTGCACCAGTGTTTATGAATGTCAATATGTTGGTTCTTCAGAAACCTTATTGCAGAGGTGGATAACTCAGTGTTCTCATGCGCCTGCCATACTGCAGGCCTTGTGTCTGTCCCGCCTCTGCAGCAGTGAGGGTTGCAAAAATTGCATCAGTTTAGCAGGGCGGAAGGCATGGAGTTTTGCAGCTTGGAAAAAAGAGAAATCACTCCCTGTGCACCAAATTGCCCCCGCAAATTGCCAGTTTTTGCTGCAGAAGCAAGTTTGGCAGTGATGATGACTAAGTGTTGCTGGAAACCTTTGGTTCTTGAGTGAACTACAAACTAAATTGCAATTTCAGACACACTTAAACCTGCCCCCTGCTTAGATAGTGATAAACCCTTTGGACAGACCCTACTGTGGCCAATTCATCTTTTCCTACCCAGTGGGTGCCTTTAAAAACTGAGCCTACCCCCTGCCTGTGTAGCCTTGTTTTGCCTAATTGCCTGCCCTATTTCCTTTGCTTAATTCCGTGTCTTGAAAGGTGGTTCCTACTCCCTGACCCACTTGGTTTTTGTTTGTGCGTGACTTTTGCATGTGAGGAACTTTTTGCATGAACACCCAAGTCTCGTGAAGCTTTGCTTGTCATCTACAGAAATGTAGTCCAAAAATGCTCCTCGTGTTTGCTTGTTCTGCATGTTCGAGTCAGCCATGTCTCATGAGATGTTTATGCTACTGCATCTAATTACGTGAGAGTAATCAGTGCTGCTCTTAATAAGGCTTGGCCACCCAGGATTCTTGCTTATGAGCTGTGATTTTATAGGCAAAGGCACACAATGTTACTGAGAAACATTTAGCTTCCACGGGGTGTTATGATGCCATAACATTATTTAAGCGCAGAAGTGAAAACTCTGGTCTCCTCCATTATCCAGAGAATTGAGAACCTCCACTTCTGCCTAGAATAAACATCATGCCAAGGTAGAGACCAATTTAGCCCCATACATCAGCCAGAGAAAAAAACAGGTGCAGGGAGCTTGTGTTTTGCTATGTCAAAGGAACTCCTGTAAGAAATTTGATAAGAACTGGTGGTATTTTTCCCTTTACTCCCCCAATCCTATTTCCTTTTGTCTTTTTGATTGTAACCATGAGGGCAGAGACATTCATATTATTTATTTTTGTAAGTCACTCTTGAGAGCTTTTTTAGTTGAAAAGCACAATAACAAAGTTAATAATAGTGTTAAAGTGGGCAGAACAAAGGCGTGACTTGCATGTGGATGTGTTCTAGCTTTTGTTTGGACTCTGAGGGTAGAAGTAGTTCCCTGAGCTTAGCACATAGCCTAAGGCTGGACAATTAGACCCAAGAAGGCTTGGCTAGGAGCAGTTTTGCCCGCTGTCTGAAGTTGTTCACTACTAAATAATATTATAAGTGTCTGAGTCCTGCCTTTGAGAAAATAGCTCTCTTTATTCATGGTGAACAGGATGCAGGTGGCACAGTGGTTTATACCGCTGTGTTGCTGGGCTGGTTGATCGAAAAGTTGCCGGTTCGAATCTGCATAATGGGGTGAGTTCCCATTGCTCCGTCCCAGCTCCTGCCAACCTTGCAGTTCGAAAGCATGCAAATGCAGGTAGATAAAAAGGTACCACTTAGGTGGGAAGGTAAACAGCGTTCCGTGCACTTCAGGGTTCAGTCATGCCGGCCACATGACCATGGACACTGTCTGCGGACAAACGCTGGCTGCCTTGGCTAGGAAACAGAGAAGAGCACCACCCCCTAGAGTCAGGCATGACTGGACTTAATATCAAGGGGAAACCTTTACCTTTACCTTATTCATGGTGAGGTTTCCTACATTCCTCCCCATTCTAGTGCTTGTAGAAGGCAATTGTGTCTGTAGTCAAATTCCACTTAGCAAACCAGAAACAACAACAGCAAAGGGTAGGGGGAAATTACCAATTTATATAAAATCCAATAAATTAAGACTGAAATCCCTCCTCAGAAGTAAGTTGCACTGAATCAGGTTGCAAGGTTGCCAGGAACTAAGAGTCAGATTATTATGACCACCAGGAGGCGCAACGGATCCATTCTATGGCCTCCAAAAACAAACCGTTTTGAGCAGAAGTAAACCCTGAACTTGAGGGGAACTATCATCTCCATCTAGAGCATCTAGAAATTAAGCCAAACCCAAAATTCTGAGTATGATTGTGTAACTCTTTTGCAGTGCAGTTGTCTGGAGGAGGATCTGCAAAACACAAGAATGCATGTGAACACTATAATGCAGGACTTCTACTAAAATGTGTGCCTGCTTGAAAATAATGAGATAGGATTTCTCAACACTTTATCTCCAAAGTTCTGGGGTTCTCCTCTCACTGTATCCTCATCACAGCCATGTGAGCTTAGGATAAACTCAAATTACTGCTTTGTGGCTGAAGGAGGTTTGAACTTGTTCTTCAGCACTCATAGCCATTTCACCACACTGGTTATTAGGCTGGAATTTATACATTAACCTTGTGTGATAGTAGTTAGTATTGAGCTTGGGAAATCCAGGTTCTAGTTTCCACTCTGCCTTTAAGCTTACTATGAGCCAGTCAATGGATCTCAGCTTAACCTACCTCACAGGGTTATTGCAAGCATCAAATGGAGAATTATTTGAGCAACCGCAGGTCCCTTGCAAGAGGGAAAAATGTGGGAAATAGATATAACAAATGAGTAAATAAATAAAAATATGCAGCAGAATAGGGTATCCATAGGGTATCCATATCCATAAGGTATGGGTTCCAAGTTCCCCAGCAGATGCCTGAAACTGCAAATAGTAGCAAACACTACCTTTGCAGGGGTTTAGGGTGCAGGACTCCCACAAAAATGGAAAAACCACAGATAACTCCAGGGAAAAATCTGTAAATACTGTATCTCTAGAGCCTTCGTACCCAAAGTGAGAAAATGTGTGAGTGAGGCTGGCTAGTACTGAGACAAAGAGCATGGCACCCCAAACCGTGCATAGTTTCCTACAGATATTTGTGGTTTTTCTACTTTTATGGGGGTGCTGCACCCCTAAATCCTGTGAATGAGGAGGGTCAATGGTCAGCCTTGGTTAAGTGAAACTCCATTCACTGAGACATTGGATACGAGGCTCCTGCTTGTACGTAGCTAGTTAGAAACGAGCCCTATTAATTTCACCCTGACATTCCCACATGAGTGAGTTCAGGATTGTAGCCTAAATCTACCTTATTTGGGCTATCCTTCCTTGCATTGTTACTTTTATCAAATATTGAGAAATAATCATCCTGTGCTCATTTATCAAGAGAATTAAACTTGACAACTAGGTGCCTGGACTGATGCAGGATGTTATACTCCAAAAGCTAGTTTGACTAAGAGGCCACTCAGAAGATGCAGGTGGTTGGCAGAAAATTTAGCCTGTTTTTTTTAAACCCACATGATGGTCCCTTCCCATGCACTGGTAGCATGAAAGCAAACTATAGCCTAGATTGGGGGTGGACAGAGAGTAGCTTGGGATCTATTGGGAGATTTTTTTTTTTTTTTTTTTTTTTTTTTGCTGATCTGAAATCAACTGAGAGGGATTTCTGACTCCTAATCCTTTAAGCACAGCAACAAATAATTAAAAGTATAGTCTTAAATGGCTTTTTGTTTCTAAATTAGGCCATTCTATCAAAGGAAGCTTGTGCAAGGGAAACCCCCAGGAATGGGTTTATGTGTGCAATGGAATGATGCTGGGCTCAATTCTGTCTCCAAGAGCAAATTCCTGCATTAGCATGTGCACAGAGGCCCGGCGGTCCTTAATTTTAAGTGTACAGAAGCTGTCCTGAACCTCTGCTGCTCACCTGTCCCCGGTTACTGGGATACTGGGGTTTGAGTAAAAAAGCAAAGTCACCCCTGGAGGCCAGGAGTGGCCTCTGGCCTAAGGGTGTGCTGGCGTACTGATGGTGCATGCAGAGAGACTTTAAACATTTTACAGGAAACACCTGGCCATATAAAACCCAGCCTGGGCAAATCTTACACCCACACACCTTGCATTTTGCTTTCCTGAAGAGATCTGATATGGCTGGCTAGCCTTGATGCAGGAAGAGGAGAGAAATTTGGGGGGCATTGTGAAAACCTGGGTAACTTGGAGGTGCCAGTCAGCATCGCACTCCGTGACATTAAGACTCTGCAG